GCGTTTGTGTTCTTCAATTGCCAACATATCCCCATTTCTCTCCCTGCCCCCCCTTCCTTCCTGTTTTTTCTCTGGCCCAGTCACTTATGATCTCATGATGTGGAAGTCCTTTCCTCACGTCCATTGTTGCCTTGGCAATGCCTTGCAAAATGCACCGAGAGGCAAACCGAGCCCATTGATTGAACGGTTCCCCCACACCAATTCATTAACATACAATATTGCAGCGCACAAGATGAGACGACTTTTCTGAACGCCCCCCTGCTGGTTCCGATCCTGGGAGTCCTAAATGCCAAATGATAATCGCCAGTGTCCACTCTATGCAAGTGGAACCTCCAAAAATGGATGGGGCTGGTGCACTGGGGGAAGGAGGGTGTCCTTCTATGCTCCACAAAACAACCCTCCTGTGCTGATGATGCAGTGCAACCCTGAATTCTCATCCTTTCACTAATGTAGAAGACAGAATCACGGCCCCACTCTGCACTAGCAAACACCTTTCCTAAGCTGCTGTGTAGAGCTAAAAGGAGGAGGGCAATGAGGAAGGGGAAGAGCTTTAGGACATGGCACTCCACTATGTGCTTCAAATCCGGGTAGCACATAGTTAGAGTATGGAACTGGCTCCCACAGGAGGCAATGCTGTACAGCAACTTGGGTGGCTTTAAGAGAGGATTAGATAAGAGAAATTAATGGGGGATAAAGCTCTCAATGGCTAACAGCCACGATACCTATGCTCTACCTCCACATTAAGAGGCAGTAATGCTTCTAAATACCAGTTGCTGGAAAATGGGGAGAGGAAGAAGAAGAAGAAGAAGTGGTGTTTGGATTTGATATCCCGCTTTATCACTACCTGAAGGAGTCTCAAAGCGGCTAACGATCTCCTTTCCCTTCCTCCCCCACAACAAACACTCTGTGAGGTGAGTGGGGCTGAGAGACTTCAGAGAAGTGTGACTAGCCCAAGGTCACCCAGCAGCTGCATGTGGAGGAGCGGAGGAGCGAACCTGGTTCACCAGATTACGAGTCTATCACTCTTAACCACTTCACCACACTGGAGGAAGTGATCTAGGTCAGTGTTTCCCAAATTTGGGTCTCAAGCTGTTTTTGGATGACAATTCCCATCACCTCTGACCACTGGTCCTGCTAATTGCATGGACAGGTGGAGTCCCCTCAACCCCAGGTGACCCCCAAGCTGAATAATCCTTCTGTTGTGTTGGCAAGGCAGTCCTTTCCCCCTACCTGGCCAATCCCCTGGCAACACCCCCCCAGGTGGGATTGGGCGATTGGGTGAGGTAGGTGGAGACCTCCAAGTATCCATCCTGGGGAGAGCAAAGCCAGCCCGTATTACCAGGAGCACTGCGTGCGTCCATACAAAAGGCACCCCCCATTTGATGTGGGGAGCGGATATTAGGGATGATAGGGGTTGTAGTCCGAAAACAGCTGGGGACCCAAGTTTGGGAAACACAGCTCTAGATGTTGTAGTCCAAATCCCAGGATCTGGAGGGCCACAGGTTCCTCATCCCTGGCATCAGTCAGTTCCAGGCTGGTGCTGGAGTAACATGAGTAGCTTCTCAGTGAGTCTTGTATCTGGCTTGTTTTTCCTAAGCTAGCTCCATGGGTATGCACCTTGTCATACCTGACTAGAATGTACATCCTTGGTCTCAAGGCAGTTGTCCAGAACAGGAGAACCAAGCTGGCAACATGACCAGGAGATTTCGCAAGTTTCTGCTGCACCGGCATACATGGTTGGTGAGTTGCATTTGTCATGGTATGCTCTGGCTGGAATGCCAATTGCTGGACCACGACAGCCTGACTACAGTGGTCCAGGCAATGGTAACCTCAAGACTTGATTACTGTCATGCATTTTAGGTGGGTCTGCCCTCACAAATGGTCTGGAAGCTGCAGAATGCCATGGCCAAACTGCTCGCAGGAACAGGTTACTAGAACCCTGCTACTCTGCTGTTGAGAGAAAGCTATGCTACTGGGCCAGGTTCAAGTTACTTGGGTTAATTCACAAAGCTCTAAATAACTTGGGCCCAAAGTAAATTAAGGACCTTCTCATCCCTTATGTTCCATTTAAGTCAATAGAGCCCTTCTGGTGATTCCTGCATGTCCCTGAGGTTCAATTCGTTTTCATGTGGCAGGTTCCATGCCAAACAGGTAGAAGTTTGGCAGGAACTACAAATTCCTAGACCATAGAATTGTAGAGTTCCCTCCTTCCCTCCAGACCTCTTTTGAAACCTTTTTTTGTTCAGATAGGCCTTTTGCAACATGATCTTTTTTCCTTTTAACCATTCGGTATTTATTGATGTTCTTAATTCTTTTAATGGGTGCTTTGTATGTTGTATGCCAACCTTGATATACTTTATGAAAGTGTGGATTATAAATATATCACTAAAAATAAAATAAAATAAAGGTGTGTCACTAGTTGTGCAGGCGTTTTCTAGTGTGTTGCTCTATACATTTTGGAGTAGGCAGCTGTTAGCGCCATGTCATCTTGCTTTATCATACAGCAGTGCAGATGATAGGTGTTAAAAAGCCATGTCCAAATGCATACTTACAGATTGCTGCAATGGGTTTCCCATACAGGCGGGGGGGGGGGGGGGTGGCTTTTAGTGTTGTGCTAACATTCCAAAAGGCTTTTATGTTTCATTTGGCTTTAGCTTTTGCAAAGATGTCTGCATCAATTTTTTATTGTGTTCAGATGCATTGTTCCATAAGTAAGCCTACTCTAGTAGTACAGAAGGTTAGAAGCAAAGTTGTTTGTGAACAAAAGTTACTGGGGAGCGTGTGTGTGTGTGTGTGTGTGTGTGTGTGAGAGAGAGAGAGAGAGAGAGAGAAAGAGATTTTGTAAAAGCATTGGTGATGTCAAGTGGATACCCTTTTCTGGGTAGATATTCTGTTAAAGGACTCAGACAAGAACTTTGATTGAACCAACAGCATCGATGGAGGAGAACACTGAGCTTTGCAATTGTGTAATAGTCGTGTAGTAGCACCTTTTAATGGATTGACTGTAAGAGTTTGAAAGCTTCTGAGATCACCAGCTATTTCCCATGCAGAAATAAGTAAAGGGGCTGAATTTACTCATACAACCAATCCCTTGGTGTATTCTCTATAAATACCCAGCACTTATATCTCAATGCATTAGATGAATCTATCCTTAGTTCCAGTTTCTCATCGTTGGCTATTAAATGAGAGCAGGCATGATGTCATGAGTAGCATTGCGCGATATCTGCTTTCCAGTGTCATAATATACCACCAGCTAAACTTTGTGATATGGCGGTATATTATGATGTCAGAAAGGAGGCAGGGAGGAAGAAGGCAGCTGCCAGCCATGGAGACAATGAGCATCACTGTGCACAGCTTCTGCCGCTTCTTTCAAGGCCAAGAGGGCGGCGCTGCTCTAGACAGAGTACATCAGCCAGGGCACCACATACCAGGGCACTGTGGAGCTGCCTGCCCCAGCCTCTTGCCTCCTCCTCCAGCATCTGGCACATGGAGGAAGGAGCCCCACGAGGCATAGGGCGAAGCTACTTCCTCCTCCAGTGCCCGGTGCACAGAGGAAGGAGCCCCTAGGGTGAAATTGTTCTCAGGCATGCTGTTTTGGAGGTGGGTGACACGTGTGGGGTGCTGATTGGCAGAGGGCAGGACAGATCCCATGCATGCACCCACCCACCTCTAGTCCTCCTGAGTTTAAAGCAGTTGGCCTGAAACCGAGAAGCGAAATACTGCCAGGTCTAAAGTTAATAATAATAATAATAATAATAATAATAATAATAATAATAATTTATTTATACACTGCCCATCTGGTTGGGTTTCCACAGCCATTCTGGGCAACTCCCAATGGAATACTAATAATAATAGAAAAGCAATAAAACATCTAACTTTAAAAACTTCCCTAAACAGGGTTGCCTTCAGATGTCTTCTAAAAGTCAGATAGTTGTTTATTTCCTTAACATCTGAAGGGAGGGCGTTCCACAGGGCGGGCGCCACTACCGAGAAGGCCCTCTGCCTGGTTCCCTGTAACCTCACTTCTCGCAGTGAGGGAACCACCAGAAGGCCCTCGGAGCTGGACCTCAGTGTCTGAACGATGGGGGTGGAGATTCTCCTTCAGGTATACTGGACCAAGGCCATTTAGGGCTTTAAAGGTCAGCACCAATGCTTTGAATTGTGCTCAGAAACGTACTGGGAGCCATTGCAATCTAGCCCTCAAACTGATCCTGGATGATGCATTGATACACCGCCCAGACCTAGTCATGAGGATAAAATGGAGAGCCAGGGATTGTGAATACCACCCTGAGCTCTTTGGATAAAAGGTGGGACATAAATAAAGTAATAAATAATAAATAAAGCTGGCAGCTGAAAACTTCTGGCCCTCAAGCTGTTGCTGAATTCTACCAGCCCCAGTGTAGCAGCTGGAGTGCCAGACAAGTACTAAGGAGGCCTGGGTTCAAAATTTCAGCTAGCCATGTCACTCGCTAGGTGACTTTTGGCCAATCTCTCACAACCTTACAAGGTTGTTGTGAGTATAGCAACATAAGAAGCTGCCTTGTACTGAATCAGACCTTGGGTCCATCTTAATCAGTATTATCTACACTGACTGGCAGTAGCTCTCCATCATTTCAGACAAGGGGCCTCTCCCAGACCTACCTGGAGATGCTGGGGATCAAACTTGCGACTTTCTGCATGCAAGGCAAGTGCTCTGTCCCTGAGCTATGGCTCTTCCCCAGATAAAACCACTGAATGAGACAAGAGGAAGAGAGTGGTCCTACCCCCTTCCTTTCCTTCTTGCTAGGCTTGTATTTTGAAAATATCAATCCATTATGACCTTTGATTAGAATGGCTTCTACTTAAAATACGCAGAGGTTTAAATAAAGATGGGACAGTACTACACACCGCTCTCTGTGTTTGTAGTTCACCTTGGGGGGAAGCTTAACTTAGCATGACCTCACAAGGAACAATGATCTAAGAATAACATGAACTGAGAAAGTACCAGAAACCAGGAGAGTGTGAAATCAAATACCCGAAGGACTGTGCCTGCCTCTCTCTCTCTCTCTTGGGCGAGTGCACTGCTCTTTTTGGTATGTACCATACCTTGCTTAATAACTTGTGTGGGTGGGTGTTGAAACATAGCACAGAGAAGCAGTTTGCTGGGATGTTTATAATTACACTAAGCAATTTAGGCACAGAGGTTGCTGTTCAGGAAATCGGGGCATTATGTGGCTGTTAAATCACAGCGGTATTTGGGATATGATTAAACTTCTGTGGGCATCCTTTCAAAAGCCCTTAGCTGATGGGACCTTTGCGATTTGACCTCCTGGGCACCCCATCTTGACTCTGGCAAAAGAACTGTCTGTTTTTTGAGAAACTGGGCAGATTGGTAGGTATTGAACTGGTGGGACTTAACAAAGCTGATGATCAGCAGCCTGGAAACCAAGCCTTACGGGAAAAGGCTGAAGGAGCTAGGTATGTTTAGCCTGGAAAAGAGGAGACTGAGAGGAGATACGATAGCCATCTTCAAATATCTTAAGGGCTGTCACATGGAAGAGGGAACAAGTTTGTTTTTTTCCTGCTCTGGAAGGTAGTACTTGAACCAATGGCTTCAAGTTGCAAGAAAGGAGATTCCGACTAAACATTATCTTTCTGACAATAAGAGCTGTTTGACAGTGGAACGGTCTCTCTTGGGAGGTTGTGGACTCTCCTTCTGTTATGTACTGAGCTGAATTCTAGAACAATAGAATCCAGAATGCAGCAGTCTGACTGGTCCTCAGGAGCAACCCAATCCAGCTCCAGGTGGAAGTGAATCAGCGACCTGATTGGCCTGCAGGAGCAGCCAATCAGGCTTCTGGAGGAGGTGAATCTGCAACCTGATTGGCCTACAGGAGCAGCCCAGAATTAGCCAATCACGCGGGGCCCATTGTGTAAATAATGTATATACAGCTAGACGTTTTGGGGAAAGTTTCATTCATTGCTACTATGAGCTGAATAAAGAGCATGAAATTCACACTTGACTCCGAGTATATTTCACCTTCCTTGGAGGTTTTTAAGCAGAGGCTGGATGGCCATCTGCTATGGATGCTTTAGCTGAGATTGCAGCATTGCAGGGGGTTGGACTAGATGACCCTTGGCGTCCCTTCCAACTCTTACAATTCTATGATTCTTTTATGGAAAAAGCAGGTGGGTTTTATTAGTATATGTAGATCCCAACTTTCCTCCAAGGTAGCATGCATGGTTTTCTCCTCATCTTATTCCCTGAACAGCCCTGTGAGGTTGATTAGACATAGGCCATTCATATCATACATTTAAAACACTATGACACCACTTTAAATAGTCATGGCTTCCCCCACAAAATCATGGGAGCTACAGCTTGTTAAGCATGCTGAGAGCTGCCAGGAGATCCTGTTCTCCTCACAGAACTACGATTTACTGAGTGGTGTTGTTGGTTTCTGCTTTCCTTCACTGTGCAGCTCTGCTTGTCACGAGACAGGTGTTTACATTCCACAGTCTGTACTGTTGGAGTTTCTCACGGGAAAGGGAGACTGGATGTGACGTACACTGGTTTCCTGTTTTTCACTGTGTGATTCTCTCCGAGCTGTTGAGGAGAGAGGATGCATTTTCTGCTCCGGCAGAGGCAAGATGTCTTTCTGTAATATACCAGCTTTGAACTGTAAATAAAGCAATATAGAGTATGCAGCACGTATTCCTCATCCTTCCGCTGGGCACGAGACTCTGCTTTAAATCAACACGTGGTTATGGGCTCCAGAAGTCGAATCGGAGTGCCGGCAAAGGATCGGAATGCAGAGGGACAGATCGGAACGGAATCTGCTCTGCGCGTAGAAGTGATTGATGAGGTATGTGCTACTGCTCCGGGCAGCCTGCCAGCTTCAAGTTAATGGCTTTATGGCTGGACTTTGAACTTTTAAAGCCGGTTTTGCCGGGAATAGGCAAAAGGCTCCCAGGCACAAGTCACTATGCTGGGGAAATCGAAAGTAACTTTTAAGTGCGCCTTTGTAATAAGGCAGCTGCAGCAGTGACGCAGCAAGATTTAAAGCAGCATATATATGACGCTGAAGGCTAATGCCAGAGTCATGATGGCCCTTCAGGATGCTTGTGGGATTCCTAAGCTCAACAAGAAAAATTACAGCGACTGGGTTCAGTATGCAGAGGCAATTCTGCGGAAAGAGGGTTTGTTTGAGGTGATTACAGAAACCCACCAGTTCCAGTTACAGATGCATGGAAAGCTAAGGATTCCAAAGCAAGGGGAACTCTTACATTGATAGTATCCCCAGAAGAGCTCTGTCTATTGCGTGATAAGACCTCAGCCAGAGAAATTTGGGACGCTTTGAGAGAGGCTCACTTAAGGACAGAAGCTGGATCCACTATGTTTTACTTTAACAAGCTGCATAATATGGCTCTTGCTGAAGGTGGAGATGTGCGTTTACATCTGATGGAGATGCAAAATCTGAGACATGAGCTGCAACAGAGAGGACTCAACTTTCCAGAGGCTGTGTATTCTTTCATGATACTACAATCTTTGGGTTCAGGTTGGGAGTCTGTTGCAACCCAGATTGCTGTGCAACCAACTGCTCAGCTGACAGTGGACTTTGTTACTGCCGTGATTTTAAATGAAGCAGATCGCCGGGGTGCTAGCTGCATGGGCAAGGGGAGTCTTCACAGACGTCATCCCATAGTGCAGTGGAACCACCAGATGGCGCCAAAGCTTTGAAGGCAGTGAAATGCTACTCGTGTGGACGTCTAGGCCATATGAAGAGGGAATGCAGACATCCCAGGGCCAAGACAGAGCAGCGCAGCGAAAGCTCATCGCGCGGAAAAGGCCGAGGCAAAGGCAAAGGTCCGGTGTCAGGGACAACGCAGCACAAGGCTATGGTTTCACGCTTCACTCCAAAGGTTGCAGAGGTCCAGAAGACGTCTAGATCTTTCTTCGTTGTTGATTCAGCGGCCACCCACCACATGTGCAACGATAAGAAACTGTTTGTGTCTTTTACACCGCAGGAAGGTGCGATTCACCAGGCGGATGACCACACTATTCCCAGTAAAGGCTACGGAACTGTTGTTCTTCACAGTTTGGACTTATCGATACAGAATGTGCTTTACGTGCCAGACGCCAAACATAATCTGCTCAGCGTTGGACAGCTGAATGAGCGGAACATTGACGTTTCCTTCAAGAACAAGAAGTGCATCATCACAAAGAAAAATGATTATGTATTGCATGCAGAATATGTTGATCGTTTGTTTGTTTTGTATTATGATGATGTGGTGCAGGATGACACTTGTTGCATTGCAGGTTCTAACAAAAGTTTGCATGCAGAATGTATTCACGATTTTCATAGAAAATTTGGTCATTTGCATTTTGAGGCAGTATCTAAAATGCCTGCCTTGGTTGAAGGTATGACTATTAAACCCTGCAGGTACCACATGAAGTGCAAAGCATGCGCAGCAAACAAAGTGAAAATGGCTGCGAAAGGTAAGGTGTCTAGTAGGAAAGCTACAGAACCATACCAGGTTGTTCATGCTGATTTGGTTGGACCACTAGCGCCCTCTTTGGGTGGAAATAGATACTTCATGGTTCTCATTGATGCATTTTCTAGATATATTTTTGTGTACAATCTCAAGCAGAAATCGGAGGCTTTTCCTAGGTTCAAGGAATTCTGTGCTTGGTTGGAAAATGTGCATGGTAAGAAGATAAAGACTCTTTTCTGTGATCGCGGGGGGGTATTCACTTCTCAGCAGTTTGAAGCTTTTCTGACTGAGAAAGGAATTCAACACGATTTGTCTAGTCCTCGCTCGCCATGGCAGAATGGACTTGCGGAACGGGCAAATCAGACATTGCTTCAAGGGTTAAAAACCTTGCTGCATGATGCCAATCTTCCAGAGAGTTATTGGGCCGAATCTCTCTCGTGTTTTGTTTACAGTTACAATCGCAGGTTATCTTCAGCGATTGGTTGTACCTCTATGAGAAGATGTTTGGCAAGAAGCCATACATCAAACACATGAAGATTTTTGGTTCTGACATGTGGGTTCGCTCACCACAAAACTCCAAGTTAGACAAGCGTGGATTGCATGGTATCTTTCTAGGTTATCAGAAAGGGTCTTACAGAATAATGATGACTGACTCTAAGACAATTAAGCTCACGAGAAGTGTTGAGTACAATGCAAAGTGGGGGAGAATGTGGGAATTTTCCAATGTTATCCTGATGACGGTGATGAGACTGAGGATAGTCAAAAGCAACCACAACAACCCACACCCACTGATGAAGGTTCTGAGTCTGAATCTGAAACTGAATCGGGTGATTCAGAGGATTTCAAGAGTGCGAAAGCCTCTATGCGACCCTCTGAAAGCTCTGATCAAGAATTGGAGGAACCATTGTTCACAATAGGTCGTTTTTCTCCTAAGAAGGAAGAGGAGAGTGTTGAAGACTTAAGGCTAATTCGTAGGTCACAGAGAGCCACAAAAGGCAAACCTCCAAAGAGATTTGCTGATGAGTTTGCTACGATAGCAGTAACAGCTGTTAAAAGCTCCAAGAAGGTATTTGAACCTTCAAGTTTCCAAGAAATCCAGGGTTTGGATTCAAAGGAAGCTGAGCCATGGTTAAATGCCATGAAGGCTGAGCTTGATTCCTTAGAAAGGAACAAAACATGGGAGCTAGTTCCAGTAGTTCCAGGAATGAAACTGCTTGGAAGCAAATGGGTCTTCAAAGCGAAGACAGATCAAAATGGCAAGATAGTCAGACACAAAGCCAGATTGGTAGCCAGAGGTTTTGCACAGGTACCAGGTCAAGACTATCACGAGACCTATTCACCCACAGTGAGATATGAAAGCATTAGGCTTATGCTCAAGCTAGCTGCAGAGGAAAATCTACACATTAGTCACCATGATATTAATACAGCTTTTCTGTACGGATCTCTAGATGAATCACTTTATATGCTTCCACCTGATGGCGTACAGGTAAAACAGGGATTTGTTTGTGCTCTGAAGAAATCCCTTTATGGTCTCAAACAAAGTGCACGGTGTTGGCACACAAAACTCACTGAAGTATTGTTTTCTCTAGGTTTTCAGCAAGGGAAAGCTGATCCATGTGTATTTGTCAAAGAGGAGGGGCAAAAGAAACTGTACTGTTTGTTTTATGTTGATGATTTATTATTCTTTTGGAAAGATGTCGCAATGTACAATAACGCCCTAGCTCAACTGAAAGAGCACTTTGACATGAAAGATCTTGGTGAGGTAAACAACTACCTATCTCTGGAAATAGAGAGAGATCAAGATGGTAACATTCTAGTACACCAGTCACGGAAAATTGCTGATGTGTTAAGCAAACTAAATCTGATGGATGCTAACCCTGTAGACACACCGATGACAACAGGTTATCAGGTAGATGACACTGAAGAAGCATTTTCTGACACTACACTGTACAGGAGTGTGCTAGGCAAGCTAAACTTCATTGCCAGATGTTCAAGACCAGACATTGCTGTTAGCTGTAATTTGCTAAGCAGACAAGTCAACAATCCTAGTGTCAAGCATTGGAAAGCTCTGAAACGCATAGCGCGGTATTTGAAAGGCACTATGCATTACAGACTGAGATTTAACAATCAGAAGTCTGGTGGTCTTGAGATATTTGCAGATGCAAGTTTTGGAAGTGACGCTACAGACAGGAAAGGTACGTCTGGAGTTTGCTACATGTACAATCAGAGTCTGTTTGATTGGTCATGCAAGAAGCAAACAACAGTTAGCTTAAGTACTTGTGAAGCCGAACTGAATGCACTGTCTTATTCACTTAAGGATTGTGAATGGTTAGTACAATTGTGCAAAGATATGAAAATTCCTGTCAAATGTCCAATCCAGGTTTACCAGGACAACAAAGCATGTTTGGCTTTGCTGAAGTCTGAAGGTTGTAAGCAAAGCACAAAGCACTTGCAATTAAAGTTGCAGCATGCTAGGGAATGTATTCAGAAGGGACTCGTAACGGTGTCCTATATGCCAGGTAATGAAATTCCTGCTGATGTATTGTCCAAGATTGTATCAAGGGATCAACACTGTACCTATGTGCAGAAGTTGGGTTTGTACTGATATTGTACAAACACGCTGCCCAGTGATGTTCACAGAAAGGGGGAGGATGTTGGTTTCTGCTTTCCTTCACTGTGCAGCTCTGCTTGTCACGAGACAGGTGTTTACATTCCACAGTCTGTACTGTTGGAGTTTCTCACGGGAAAGGGAGACTGGATGTGACGTACACTGGTTTCCTGTTTTTCACTGTGTGATTCTCTCCGAGCTGTTGAGGAGAGAGGATGCATTTTTCTGCTCCGGCAGAGGCAAGATGTCTTTCTGTAATATACCAGCTTTGAACTGTAAATAAAGCTATATAGAGTATGCAGCACGTATTCCTCATCCTTCCGCTGGGCACGAGACTCTGCTTTAAATCAACACGTGTAACAGTCAATCCCTATTCCCAGGGAACTCTGGGAATTGTGAGGAATAGGGCTGACCAGAGCTTCGGCTGAGATCTAGAACTTGTTTTCATATCAATGCTCAGTAAGCGAAATAACAAGGATGGTGGAAAAAGCACTGGCTTTTGTACAGACTGCTATTCCTTCAAAGCTGACTGTTGTCAACATCCCCCACTCTTCCCCAGTCAAGGTCATAGTCCTCAAGGCTGGTTAAGTTATTTTGTTCCACAAATACCTCACCCTAATAGTAAAAAAATACAAAAATAAACCATGAACTAACTAGTGATTTCCTGCTCTTTCTTAATACCCAGCACTAGTTGCCTGAGGCAGCTACTTCACTCTGCCTAATGCATACCTGCCAAAAGCCCCGGAAAAATTGGACATCCTATTTTCTCATGCAAGATCTCAGCTGCCATTTTGGGTGCCACAATATTGCGTGCTCAGGGCCACGCTCTAGACCCAAAAAGCATTTGGGGGTGCCTGAGAGCGTGGTGTGGGTCACATGATTCACCCAGAAGCACTTCCCAGAAGACACGCATCCGAAAAAGTTGGATGGCAAGCTAATGATAGGGATGTACCAGTTTCTTGATAAGCAATGCATAGGATTAAGATGTTAAATTGCAATGAGTAGAATGAGTACTGTGCTGTATATTTAATAATATTTTGAGCTTTGATTAGCTATAGATCCAAGATCCTTGTATTATAACAAATAGGAGCTAATAGGGTTGGGTAGGGTAGAAAGGTGCTGTCTGTATGACAAAGCAGGTAAAAAAAAGTCAATAATACATTAATACAAAAGAAATGAGTTAGCAGGTGTGAAGCAGCACTCAGAATCATTTTAGTCTGATCCAACAAGGTAATTATTATGTTCTTTAGCACCCCTGAGGTCCCCCCTCTCTCAACCCCTCCCCCATATATTGAATTAAATGAATGTGTCAATATCTTTGAAATAGGAGGGTTAATGTTATCCAATTCCTTGAATATATCTATATCTCTAAGTCTGCCTGCCTGTCTACCTACCTACCTATCTCAGTCAGTAGAGCATGAGACTCTTAGTTATGGGTTCGAGCCCCAGGTTGGGCAAAAGATTCCTGCATTGCAGAGGCTTGGACTAGATGACCCTCGTAGCCCCTTCTAACTCTACAATTCTATGAATCTATCATCTGCACACATTTCCCCTGAATGTTCTCTCAGCTCTCCAGATGTTTGTTTTCGATCTTTTCCAAGCTGTGGGTTTGTGTGTTGCCTGGAACAAACAGGCTCTGTTTAGCTTATTATAGAAAGAGGGGCGTCCTACACAGCACCTCTACACACACAAAAGGCTGAAGTGGAGCCTGTACTGGACTGGGATGCTATTTTAATAGCCGAAAGGTCACCAGAAGTCTCCCCGTGGTCACTCGATACCCTCTCTTGCGCTGCACATTAGCATTCCTCTCCGCAGGTCCCTTTCTACTAGTCTGAAAGAGTCGGCTCTCAACTCCTACACAAAATGTGGAGTTGTTAGGATTTGCAGAGGAGACATTAAATCAGCCTCTGGAGATTCCTTTGTCAAAAGGAAGCCATATTTATTAAAAGTGCAGTTGGCTCTTCACATGTGTCATATTCCCTCCCGCTCCCCTTGGCCTTTCCCCTCCTTCTGGCACATCCACCCCCTGCCCAGGGTGGGGGAAAAGCCCTCTGCAGGAACATCCAGTGAATATTATCTAGTGGCTCGTGCTTGTCATTCTGTCCTGTGTGATACTATTTTTAGAAAGGGATTTTCATCCAATTGCCGTTCAGCAGACTAGTTGTCAAGGCAAACACCGAGAAGGTGGTTGAGGTTGAATTTGTCAATGATTCAGCAGTGCGGGCTGTTGTTAGCAAGCCAGGCTTGCCTCTCTGATAATAATGTGCGCTCTGGCATTTCTGAGAGCCGGTGTGATGTTGCAGGTAGCATGTTTGGCCCTGAAAGTGAAGGGCCTGACGGGCTCTAATAACTCCCCAGGGATGAAGCTTACATCTTAGCGGTCCTTGGACCAATAACAATGCATAGCATCTGTAGCAACGCTTTAGAGCACTTAGTGCAAGGGTGGGCATGGGGTTTTTGGACTATGACATACCCTCCAACATTTCTCTGATGAAAATAGGGAGATATTATTCTATACCTTCCAACATTTCTCCAGTGAAAATAGAGACATCCCCTCCAACGTTTCTCTGATGAACATAGGGACATCCAATTCCATACCCTCCAACATTTCTCCAATGAAATAGGGATGTCCTAAGGAAAAGGGGGACATTCTGGGATCAAATCAGAAATGGGGACAGATTCTGTAAATCCAGGGCTGTCGCTAGAAAATAGGGACACCTGGAGGGTCTGCTATGACTCCCACCACACCAAGGCAGCATGGTCAATAGTCAAGGATGATGGGAGTTGCAGTCCAAAGCATCTGGAAGGTTACAGGGTCCCCACTAAGGGGTTAAATCTGTAAATTTCAGTTTTTCATAGCCCCCCCATCTTGAATTCTTCACATTTCCACATACCTTTGCATTTCCCCCCACATTCTTCATTAAAATTGTGAATGAGAAATTTTATTGTGAATTTCTCCTAATAGACATTTCTTTTTTTGCAAATCAGCATTCTGTATCGTAATGCACTTTCACATGATTTTCAGCAGTATATGCATTTTTATGCACACTTTGCCCTACTATATGCATTTTGTACGCATCACTTGGCATGTTTCAGAAGATGGCTGTGCTTCCATTTACAGTTTTGGGGAAGCTTGCCTTGAAATGCAAACAGAAGCAAATTTGTTTGCCATCCCTATTCCCCACCATGCCTGAGTAGACATTAGTAAGACAGATGGACCAATAGCCTGATTTTGTATTATGCAGCTTATGACAATCAAGTCATAAGCTGGACTAGGTTATCATCTGTACTGTGTTGTACAAGGGACTGCCTTTCAAGAACATTCAGAAACTCCTGTGTCATAGAATTGTAGAGATGGACGGTATCCCAATTCAGGAATCTCAGCTAAAGAATCCCGGACAGATAGCCAACCACCCTCTGTTTAAAAACATCTAATGAAGTTTTCCATCACTTTCCGACATACTCCTCTCCACTGTTGCAACAGCTCCTACCATCAGAAAGCTCCTCCTAAAGTTTAGTTGGAATTTTCTTTCTCGTAATTGAACCCATTGGTTTGGGTCCAGCCTTCTGGAGCATCTGACAGCCCTTTGGGTATCTGAATCTGGCTATCATATCACCTGTCAGCCTTCTCTTCTCCAGGTTAAACATACCCAACTCCCTCAACTGCAGATGGAACTATTAAGAAGGAGTCACCAAAATGAACACATCTGCAGTTCATTTAGAGAAGTGAAATTCAAAGTGGTGGGTTTGTTTCAGAAGGTCCAAAATGAACCAGGACCAGGACGATGGTGTCTGAGGGACCATCTTTGCCTGTATGGACTTGCCTATTCACAAAGATCACCATTACAGACCTGCTAATCCCACCTACAGCGTTCAGTATTTTAAATTGTCTAGCTCACTTATTAGAGCAAGGCCCTCACAAAATGGCATCCATAAAAACATATACAGTGGTACCTCGGGTTTAGTACTTAATTCGTTCTGGAGGTCCGTTCTTAACCTGAAACTGCTCTTAACCTGAAGCACCACTTTAGCTAATGAGGCCTCCTGCTGCTGCTGCGCCACTGGAGCACGATTTTTGTTCTCATCCTGAAGCAAAGTTCTTAACCCGAGGTAAATTTCTGGGTTAGCAGAGTCTGTAACCTGAAGCGTATTTAACCTGAAGCGTATGTAACAATACTATATCTATCTATCTATCATCTATCTATCTATCTATCTATCATCTATAGCTATAGAATCAGAAACTTTCAAAAAACATTGAAACAATATATCTCCCAATTATATAAAAAATCAGTAGCACAAAATATTATTATGATATACACTCTCTTATTCTTGCTTCTGGCATTGTCAGATTGGTATTCCACTGATCATATCTATACTATTATATGTAACAATACTGATTAGACTAAGGTGCCCACTGTTAAAAGACAGACACTGTAAGGCACAAACCAGGAATTCTTACATGGGCTAGGATCATATTCCTGGGAACTGAGAAAGAAGCAAGCACCAACTGTGAAACATCAACGCACTAACAAATTGCTGGGTTTTCAAATGTGAACATGGAACTGAGCAATTAAGCAAATTATAGACATTTAAGGCCAAGAAAAACCATCCATTGACTACCTCCCAGCCCCCACCCCATGGAAGCCATAGTTACCAGTAAAGGATGGCAACTGTGGAATAAAGCCAGAAAACAGAGACATCACCAGAAAGAGTTATGTTAAATTCAGAAGATCTGGGTTTAACTCTATCCCTTTCCCATAGTTAGAAAACCAAGATGGTTAGGACACATTCAACACAGTCAATCAAAGGCATGTAACAAAATGAATTTCAATATGGGCAAATGTAAGCTTCTACACTTCTGCAGGAAGAACCAGCTGCACAAATATAAGATGGGGGGCACCTGGCTTACTAGTAGTACATGTGAAAAGGATCTTGGGGTCTTAGTAGACCCCAAGCTTAACAAGAGTCAACAGTGTGAGCAGCTGCAATATATATATATATAATGCTATTCCAGGCTGCATCAACAGAAGTATAGTGTCCAGATCAAGGAACTAACAGTACCACTCTATTCTGCCTTGGTCAGACAACACCTGGAGTATTTGTCAGGATACTGACAAGCTATAACATGAGCAGAGGAGGGTGACCAAGATTATCAAGGGCTGGAAATCAAGCCTTATGAGGAACAGTTGAGGGAGTTGGGTATGTTTTGCTAGGAGAAGAAAAGACTGAGAGGAGATATGATAGCCGCCTTCAAATATCTCAAGGGCTGTCACCTGGAAGATGGAGCATGCTCATTTTCTCCTGCTCTGGAAGGTAACACCATAACAACATTCAAGTTATAGGAAAGGAATTTCCGACTCAACATCAGGAAGGACTTTCTGGCAGTAAGAGCTGTTCGACGGTGAAATGGTCTCGCTTGCGAGTTCGTGAACTCTCCTTCATTGGAGGTTTTGAAGCAGAGGCCAATGTCCATCTGTCATGGATGCTTTAGTTGAGATTCCTGCATTGCAGGTGTCCCTTCCAACTCTACAATTCTATGATTCATTTGGGAAATCACAATTATTTTTAAGGCAGAGGAGCCTTTTTCAGCCAGAGAGCACATTCCCTTCTGAGCAGTCTTCCAGGGGGGCACATACCAGTGGTGGCTGGGGCAGGAGGCACAACTGGGAGGAGCAACAAATGTAAAGGCTTTGTATGGTAGGCTAGTTTCAGCCCTTTCGATCCTCTGTCCAGTTTTGGATTGAGCATCATCTGATGTCAACGACACATTCCAGACAGAAAAAACCACTCAGCAAAGGTGTGAATGGTTAGACTGTTGAACTATAATATGGGAGACCACAGTTTGAATCCCCATGCAGCCATGAAGCCCACTGAGTAGCATTGGGCCAGTCACAGTCTCTCAGCCTAGCCAACCTCACAGGGCTGTTGTGAAGACAAAATGGCAAGGAAAGAACCATGTATACCACTGTCAGGGGTTTTTTGTAGCAGTTCGAAAGCACATCAAAGTGCAAGTAGATAAATAGGTACCACTCCAGCGGGAAGGTAAATAGCGTTTCCGTGTGCTGCTCTGGTTCGCCGGAAGCAACTTAGTCATGCTGGCCACATGACCTGGAAGCTGTACACCGGCTCCCTCGGCCAATAAAGTGAGATGAGTGCTGCAACCCCAGAGTCGGACACGACTGGACCTAGTCGTCAGGGATCCCTTTACCTTTACCTTGTGCTGTGTTTCTGGGCACAGGTCTGGGCTTCAAAGCTATGTGTCCAAGCAGTTTTGATTTATTTGTTGTCGTTCCAGTGCTTTCCCCAGGAAAATCCATGTTTTGCCATTGAACCGGAACAAAAGCATTCGAGTTTTCTGTGGATTGTCATTTGCTCCAATTCGGGGTGGGAGAGACCACTCTGACACAGAGCTTTGAAGCACAGACCTGTGGTCCTGGGTTCTGGCTCCACCTATCCTTGAGCTCTCTGCTTTCCGCCCCACCAGTCCCAATGGCTTCCAACCCATCATGAGGTCTGGAAAAGTGGGGAGGCTGTAGCATACAAATCAAAGTGAAGAATGCAGACCTGGAGGTTCTTTGAATCTGGGACTTCACTTCTGTCTCCTCCACCTCCTCTGTAAAATCTTCTTAGCAGGAATTTTGCAAACCTCCCGTTTAAACCCAGCAGCGAGAACCATTTGTTTGCTTAGAGATTATTGAGGGTCCCTGAAGAGTGAGGTTGACCAATATTGAATTTGTTAATGCAGATAAAACAACTTACAAGACGCTGGTTTCTAATAATACCAAGGTGTTGCTTTAAAGATTAATTAAACTCTAACATATTGAGCCAGCCTAGTAGACTCGTGAATAAATTCCCGGTGACATACTGGGTTTCGTTTGCTCCCAGGGTTCGTTGGAGCTTGATGCATGGCAGAAATGGCAAACTTCTGCTGATTATGCTCCCGTCTTGTTTGCTACGGCTCTCGCATTCCAAAGCAGTTGCTGCGTCCCGGCGGACTCTTGATTCAATAGGCTTAATTACAAAGTTGAAAAATTGAGTCATGCGCACAGGTCAAATTAGAATGTACTTAATATCCCTCCAAAGGAGAATTTGGACCAGTTTATCTACAGGGCTCCCAACTCCTGGGAAAATGAAAGCACAATCCAGATCAATAATGCTATTAAGGGCTGAATTAGAAATGAGTTCAAACAGGAATCGCAAGGTGATCATGTTGGACCACATGCTGGTTTGAATGGAAAGAGCTACAGTAAAATAGACTTCGTGACACCAGTGTATGGACTACTTAGGAACATAGGACGAGGCCTTATATGGAGTCAGACCATTGGTCCACCTAACTTAGTATTGGCTACACTAACTGGCAGCAGCTCTCCAGGGTTACAGGGAGGGGGTTTCTCCCAGCCCTGCCAGGAGATGCCAGGGACCTTTTGCCTGCAAAATCCAGGCTGTGCCACCAAATTATCATATTTCCCAACACCTCACAGGGTATGTTAAGCTTAAATATGTGCATAATTTATCATCTCCTTTCCCCCCCACCCTAAAACTAACTCTAACTCTTTGCTTGACATTCTCCGTTATTTATTTGTGGCTCTCATCAGACGCCATCACTTCACAACTCTGAAGATCCAGACTCATCAGTTGAAAAGCATCAACTTGAGAGTACAATACAGTGACACTGGATTTGTATAATGATGACACTGAGGCAATTCTACTGTAAAACGATCTGTACCATTAAACTCAAGAAACATATTCCTTGCAAAGGGAGAAGGGGGAGAGAAACCCCCCCCCCAACCTATGCTTTCTAAGGCTGCTAGACAACAATTTTTGATGCAAGATAATGTGTGCAGCATGGGAAGATTTGCACAACTGAGGCAACAGTTTCCTAGCAACCATAGATCCTCTACGAATCCTTTCACTGATAACCATTAAAATGTATGTTAAATAGCATTAGGCACTGAAAAAAGAGAGAAAAGAAATGGAATCATGAGGAGATTCACATCTTACAAAGACTGGGAACTGTTTAAGCAGTGCAGTGTTCAAGTTTTTGATGCAAAATATATCCATGCCCCAAAATAATGATGCCACTCTCAAAATAGTACTACTAACTTCATATCAGGCTCATTATCTTATCACTATTTTTCTTATTACATTTATTACCTGCCCTTCATCAGCAGGTCCCAGAATGGGTTGCAGCAATTTGAAATTGCAACCAACCCTAAATGAGGCTGCCATTTAGTAGTGGGTCCTGACCTACCAGTTGAAGATCAATGTCATAGAGGACAAGGGATGTGCATTCTGCTTCCCTCCCAGACCAATGCTTTGAAATAGCCAGGTAGAAAGGCCTATGTTCTCCTTTACAAGAGATGCCAATGAAAGTCTTGACCCAGGCTCAGAGGAGAACTTTGGAGACTAAAACACCTGGCCTGAAAGTGAGCTCTACAAGGTCTGAAATTCTTCTCCATCTCAGATCAAAATCCGAGCTAGATCCCTATCTTCTATGCCAGCTTTCTCTGACCCAGTTCCCCTCCAGACTTTTTGTACTGCAACTCCCCATTAGCCTCACCAGTGTTGGGGAAGCTTGCACCACACTCTTCCTTTCCTTAACTTGGTCACAATGGGAGCAGCAGCAAGGAAAAGAAAGAGAGGGGAGATTTTTCTTTCTCCTTCTTCTACCAACTGCCCATTGCACCGATCCTACTTTGCAACAGGGCATGGGGAACACTGGGAGATGTCATTCCCACAAAGGCTCTCACAATTGTATTACACTTTCAATTAAGCATGATGAGGAAGTTTGTCTGGGCCACCTGCAGTAACAAACTTCGGGGTCTCAAAATTGCAATTGCAGCAGTCTTTCGGAGAACTACATCTCCCATGAGTCACTGGGATCTGATGCCTGGCACATTGCTAATCAGTCAATACACCAGAGCATTTGAGAAGGGAGTGAGGAAGTGGGGGGGAAACCCTTTCCCTGGGGAGAAAGGCTGGCAGGCTGGCAGGGACCACCTCTGGAGATGGGTAGTTTTCCTGAACTCCTTGAATTGGCTCAGATTCAGAAAAATTATCTGAGTTCTCCACCTCCCCCCACCCAAAGGGATAATTAGCAAGGTAATCTGAAATACGTTTTAGAGAGTTCACACATTCCCAATTTTTATTGGACAAACAGCTTCACATAATTGAATAATTTAAGTTTGGGTGAGGTCAGCCTATCAGGGAAAGATTTTCCCCCATGAAGGTCTATCTAGCCATTCCCTTCATGGGACAAGTTTTTAATATTCTAGGAAGTGGGACTAGTGTTTCCTCCTGCTACCCATGATATTCAACCCAAAGACCTTCAGCATACAGATCAGGTGAGCGTTTCATGTGTCTTGAATAATATGCTAAAATTGCTTTCACTTTTGGGGATCTGTTTCTTTCAGCGACACCTAAGCCACTGCCCATATGCTGAGCCCCATGGCTGAGAGAGGTCATCCTTCCATCCTACTGGATGCCATATGGTGGCAATTGAGAAGACTCAAACAGAAGAATGAAACTTAAGCAGGGTGCTTTAGAGAAGTCTGGGGATATTGAGCAAATAGGCTCTTCATATTATGAGATCATGTATCAGGTGATGCATTCTTCCCACGCTTATGAGTTAATTATGAAAAAAAGCAATCAATATCACACCAGTGTTTTTCAACGGTTATTTTTTAACCAAATACCAAACTATACAAAACAATGAATGCCTGTGAATGGCTCTCCCCGCCCCATCTCTTTAAAGTTTGGTAAAAAGAGGCAACAAAAGAGGGAATTCAGAGGGAATTCACCAAATGCCAAACCCAAACATGAAGCTTTCAAGCATTACCCATTTTAACTGGTACCTCCTGAACTCCTGGCTGACAGACAAATAGCTACTTTCCACATAGTTGATCAAGTAGCAACCCATATGGCGGAGAACTGTCTCAACGTTGGCATTGTTGCACCTTACCTGAATGGGGCTGGAGCGAGCCAGGGTGGCAGAGAAGTCAAAGATACAGGGGTGTACTAAGGATGACAACCTGGGCAGCCCCAACTTCACATCCCTATCTGCCCCCCCACCCCAGCCCTACAACACAGGCTGCTACTGAACCTGCTGTGATATGTGTGCCTACATTTATCCCTATTATTATTATTATTTACCCACCCTAAGGTGGGTAATATTCAAAACAATTCAAAGCAGCCTACAATAGGTTTCAGTCTCTGTCAAATGGGGGGTGGGGGGTGGTGGTATTTATTTATATTTTTTTTTTGCTGAATTTTGTACAGCTGTGGAAATACCAAACTGGTTAGTATAACTATAATGAGAACAGAGACCCACTGAAAATAATAAAAACATGACTAACTTAGACCCATAATTTTTAATAGTCCTACTCAGAGTAAAAAACTACTTGGATACTGCTCAATATGACAGATATGATTGTGGGTCAAAGGAAATGGGCAGAGAGATGTTTCTGGCTGATGGGCCACAATGGCTCTCTCATACCAACTTTCGCAAAAATTATTGCTTGTCTGTTGCCCTTATCTAAAGGCAAACTCCTGGGAATTATCAGAAATGGTCTTTTAAAATAAAATTGATAGGCACCAGTGCTTTATTTTCCCCGATATTCCCCATGACATATAGGAGCAGAGATTGCACGGTGTCTCGATAAGGCCAAAGAGTGAAAGTCAGTGAGATGAATTATCGGCTGCTAACAGTTACACTGCTTGACAAGGGAGAAAACTTATAATGCAGAGTCATGGCATTTCCACTGGGAAGGTTAGAATAGATGTAAAATCAATATGCTGTTATCTGTTTCTCGTTGTACTTTTTTTGGACAGGCAACAATAACCTGAAATGGGGTTAACTATCCTTGCTAACTACCATGATGTCTGGGGTAGGAGAATGTGGGGAACATTTTTTTATTCAAAAAATTGGCCATTCATGGGGTGGCTGGGGATAAAACATAGGCCTCCTGAAAAAAACATGAAAGGGGAGGGGGTTATTTCTGGATTTTTTTGTGAGGCGTTGCAATGTCTAGTGCCCCATTTGTACTATACATTTTAAACTGTATCATAGAATCATAGAATGGTATAGTTGGAAGGGACCCTGAGGGTCATCTAGTTCAATCCCCTGCAGTGCAGGAATCTTTTACCCAACGAGAGGCTCAAACCCACAACCGTGAGATTAAGAGTCTCATGCTCTACTGACTGAGCTATTCTGCCCACCCCCCATATGCATGACTCCCCCCAAAGAATCATGGGAACTGCAATTTGTTAGGGGCTGATGAGAAGGACATTAGGCTTTCTGGGGAAGGGGGAGGGTCAGTGGATGCTGGGCGTGGAAGGGGGACTGATGCTTTTGAGCTCTAAATACAATATGGTGTCATACCCTCCAACACGTTGTGGTGAAAAACTGGACACGTGTTTTCTCCAGCCGTGCTCCTGCACGAGTCATATGATGCATGCAAGATCACGGCCCCCAAAGATGCGCCTTTTTCGGGGCCATTCTTTTGCTGCACCCCAAAATGTGCATTTTTGGGGTGCCATGCTCATGGGTGAAAAAACGGGATGTCCCAATTTTAACAGGACAGTTGAAAGGTATGTGGTTTTATTCTGTATATTTTTTGTGTTCTGAAATAAGCGCACACACCCTCTCTCCCCCTTCCTATGTCTATCTATCTATCTATCTATCTATCTATCTATCATCTATCTATCTATCTATCTCTATCTGTCATCTATATCTATCTATATCTATCTATCTACAGTGGTATCTATCAATCGATAAGAATCCATCTGGGAGTCTCTATCTATCTAGCGGTTTATCTATCTATGCTAGCTAGTCCATTGACTGGATCTAGCGGATTAGCGCTATCTAGCGTCTATCTAGCGGCTTCTAGCGGCTTTTATCAGTCTATCTATCAGCTCTATCAGATAAGCAGATAAGCGGCTTAGTGACTTAGAAAAGAGGGGAAAGGAAAAAAAACCCAGTAACTCGCTAGATATTTTCTTCTTGCTAAGCAAGCCCATTGCAGATTCGTTTTGCGAGGCACCTCCAAAACGGAAAACTCTTTCGTCTAGCGAGTTTTCCGTCTTGCGAGGCATTCGTCTTGCGGGGCACCACTGTATCTATCTATCTATCTATCTATCTATCTATCTATCTATCTATCTGTCATCTATATCATCTATCTATCTATCTATCTATCATCTATCTATCTATCTATCTAGCTATCATCTATCTATCTAGCTATCATCTATATCTATATCTATGTATCTATCTATCATCTATATCTATATCATCTATCTAACTATCATCTATCTATATCTATCTATCTATCTATCTATCTATCTATCTATCATCTATCTATCTATCTATCTATCTATCTATCTATCTATCATCTATCTATCTATCTATCTATCTATCTGTCTATCTATCTATCTATCATCATCTATTTATATCATCTATCATCTATCATCTTTCATCTCTATCATTTATCTATCTTTTATCAGGAGAAGAAAAGGCTAAGGAATAAACTCTACACAAATTCAGAGTCCCTAAGACAGTTGGATGGTGTCTTGTATGCCTCTTTCCAGCTACCCCTGCAGCCAAGCTACTGCCAAATGTATTTCTCTGCTTTCCTTTGGATCACAGCAGCAAGGTCGAGAGGCGGGTATTGTCATCTGGGCAGCACAGGACCTCCACACACACTACCCAGGTTTGCTCCCTGGGAGGACACTTCAGTCCTGCTAACGCAGCTTAAAAACATGGGAGGCAGCAGTTATGAATTGCCAGTCTCTGTAGCCATAGCAGGCACTGTGAGTCTCCTAACAAACAAAATGTCTGGTCTATTGTAGCAAGGGATGAAATGGAACAAGTAATTGGAGCAACATTAAATGCGCAGAGGAGTCAGTGCTCTCCCCTGCGTTGCGGCGAAATGGGAGGCGGGTTTCTCTGCTTGAACCGATGTTCTCCAGAGCCAGCCCAATCCCCACACAGTTTGGATAACCCTGATGTTCTCCAGATCCCCGGACGGGGGCTGGGAGGGATAAATGCCCAATGCCTAAGTCAAGGCAACTGAAAGTTTAATAAAGTTGTGTCCAATTTTAATCCTATAACACGTTGTTGTGAGTCATTATTCCTCCCGGGGGTCGCCTGGGGTCGGGGGTGTGTGTCTCCACCTGGCCGTGCAAAGAAGAGCATGCCATCGAACGATGGCTGCTTGGGGGAGCTCACACTAGAATGACGGAAACAGTAACAAAATATGAGTAAGTGTTGTTTATTTTGCCGCAGAACTCTGAGGCTCAGGCATGGCAGAAGTCCTGTTGCACTCAAGTCCTGCTTATTGGGCTTCTCACTGGCCACTTTGAGAACCCTGTGTGCTTCAGAGAAGGCTATCCCCCAGTCTCAACTGGAGATGGCAACCTGGAACCTGGGACCTTCTGCATGCAAAACAGATGCCCTACCACTGAACTGGGGCCCTCCCACAACGTGAGGCTGGCACCTTCCCAGCCAGATTCAACTGAGTGGATAGCCCCTGTTATGCTCACTCACAGAGATAAGCTATTTGTATCTGGTCTCTGTTCAGAACAGAAGTGAAGGAAGGTGTCCAGTTCTGGCATCCAATGAAATGTAGGCATGTTTAAGGGGGCATATTCAAGGTAGGAGATGCTGAGCCAGTGAAACAGGAACTGAGCAGGAAGAGCAACTGGCTCTTGTGAGCTGTGGATTTTGGAGGGGATGTTTATGGAGACCTTTTGTCAATGCTATAGGAGATAAAGGCACACAGGCACACGTGGGCCTCAGACTGGTGGCCCTTGTGGTAGTTATACTCACCATATGATTATAGTAAGCAAGAGGAGACACAAGCACAGTGGACGCTCGGGTTGCGAACATGATCCGTGCGGGATGCACGTTCGCAACTCACAGCGTTCGCAACCCGCAGTGGCGCGTCTGCGCAAGTGCGGGTTGCGATTCGGCACTTCTGCGCATGCACAAAGCACGATTTAGCGTTTCTGCGCATGCGCGACCACCGAAACCCAGAAGTAACCCATTCTGGTACTTCCGCATTTCGGCGCATCTGTAACCTGAAAAAAAACGCAACCTGAAGTGTCTGTAACCTGAGGTATGACTGTAAACACTTGGCCACTGCCCAAAGCCCTCGCTCCAATATCATATGTGGAATTGGGGGTAGGCTTTATTCCTGAAGCAGAGGAGGGGAATTCTATTTGCAAATGTTTTCCCCTCATTGTCCCTTCCCTTTGATGAATGCTTATGAGCATTCTCTCTCATGCTGAGCAGGTCCTGCTGCCTATAGCTGTGCTTTTTCTTCTCCTCAATCATCACACACCACTTTGCAGGCTGCTCTCTAGCTTCCTGGCTGCCTGTGACTGTGATTCAGAGTGCTCGCTTCCTGAAATAGGATTTGTCTCGAACATTGTGTGAGTTGCTCCACAGATCGCTCTTCTCTGCAAGGAACACTGAATTCAACCGGCTAGCGGCTGCAGACCTGTGATGCGCATAAGAACGGCTTGAAGAAAAGCCTTGGATAATTTCCACCCAGACTATTTTTTAATGCTAGATATATTTATGGAGAGGCTATTCAAGGGGCAGCTTTTAAGTCCACTTCTAAGACTGTGCTAGAGACATGGAGGGGAAAC